TTACATGAAATTTTTCACATAAACGTTGTTCAATTCGAGATAATAAAGTAAATGTAATGTTTTTTAATGAACCAAATTGTTCTCTAAATGCTTGAAGAAGTTCATTATCATTTGGATGATTAATAACTATTTCAGATGATTTTGTTTGTGATTTTATTTCTAATTCAACATCATTATCTGATGAATCAGATGAATGAAAATATATTTTATTGCTTGTATTAGATTTGTTTTTATGTGATGATTGTTTTGATTGATTAGTTTGATCGAGCATTTCCAAATTACCATGACAAATGGCTATTTGAAATATATTTCTTAACATTGAATCTTTTGAAATAATATCAAGTGCTTGAGATATCTTTCGAAATGAAGTATAATCTAAATAAATATTCACATCATCGAAGTTTTTTTTTGTAATTTACGCTATATCTTGACTAATAAGAGGAAAACTTGTCAATTTGAAAATTCCTTTTCATTTCTGACTCTGTACTTAAGGTAGATCTCAATGAAATATTAGAAATTCTAAGGGAATAAGGGTACATAGATCTTTCCTAGAGAATTATATCAAATTTATTGAAACCTCAGCGTACAGGACGGTACTAATGTCAAACAAGCAGACTCATAAATCGTCATCTGTTTAATCTTTCACAATTTTACATTTCACTGTTGTGCACTTCCGCTGAACGAACGTCATATCGCTGTATTGCTTTGCACTGTATATGAATTTCGTATTCTCTTAGTCCTGGATACGTACAGAAACATCGAATGATGATATTTTCGTCTGAAATAGTACTCATAGACATGCTCTAAAAATTTCAGGTCAAAAGAATGTTTCTTTTATCAAATATTGAATTCACCAGAATCACTTATATTCCATGAAAGATTAGAGAATCTCATGTTTTTCTAGATACTCAATATCCTGTGAAGGAAATATTCTTTTGAGCTAAAATTGTAGTAAAACAGCTATAACTCTATAGGAAAAGCCTTGTAGCCTATATTAGTTCGGAATTATTAATACCTCATTGAAACCTACCTTATGGAAAGAGTCCAAACCTCTACTCACAGATAAAACTCTGCCGGAAAGAAAACTTAAATCTTTACTATGTAGAACAATAAAAAATATGTTCACCTACTTTGACAAACTTCACGACAAATTTCAATAAGATCATTAATTATATCAATCGGATCCATTGATGCATAAATTTGACGTTGTTGATTATTATTGTTACCTAATTTATCGTTAATAGTTTGTGAAATTTTTTCAATTTCTTTTTGTACAAGATCAGTTAATATTAAATTTAATTCTGTTCGAGCTATTTCCATTGTTTTACGTTGATTTGCTTGCATAGTTTTAATACACTAATAAATACGAAATTTATTTATGAAATTAATTAAATCTTTTGTTGTTGTTTTTTTTTAATCTTACATTTCTTGCTAAATATGCACTTTTCATTCTAATACCTAATTGATAAATATCTTTTACATGAATTTGTTTAGCTATAAATTTGAAAAAATGTTCAACATTTATTTCATTTTCTGTTTTCCAAGCAAATTCTTTAGTCATATATTGATCAAGATATTTTAATACATCAGAACTTTTAAGATCTTTTTTTATATATTCATTTCGAATATGTTTTAAACGAAATAATTCTTCAATTTTAGGTTGTTTTTCTATTGGACCCAATAATAATTCATTATAATTATTTTTATAAAATATTCGAGCTAAATCATTTTCTAATTCATTTAATGTACCTATGGTTTGCCAATAAGCATATGAATCAAGATAAATATTTATTTTATTTTGTATTCGAATAAGATTATCAATACAAGGTATTTGATCAGCACGTTGAATACCTATATTACCAAGATCTTGTACATGAAAATATGTTAAAATACGCCAAAGAACATCATTCCATCGTACTAATTGTCCTTCATCATGAAGAAGAACTATTTGTTTTGCAGCTATTTCATTAATATGCTAAATAAATAAGAATAGATAAAAATAGAATTGATTTCAAACATTTTTACTATCATTATGTAGTAAAACTACATAATATTAAATTAATATAATAATATACTTATATGATTTACTAAAAATTCGCATATATTTTCTATTAAATAAACATTCTTAACAAAGAAACAATATCTCAATATCAGGAAATTGAAGAAAAATAGTTATGTCAACATGATTGAGATTCTTATACATATAATGCCTAAACTATAATTCCAGTATATGCAAAACATGTTGAGTTGGAAACTTTTAGATTTTGGTTAACAGAAAAGTTTAAGACTTATCTATAGATACATAACCGCTGCTATACAAACACATCCTATTAATGTTATCTAAAATCTATTTGGTTTTGTTTTTGAAAAGAATAATATTTACTTGTAAAGGAATTCGTTGTGTAATATGATTTGTTTGAGCTGTAAATGGAATAATACTTGGTGTTGAAGAAAAAGGTGAACGAAGTGATAATTCTAATGGACTTGTATTTGTACTTGAATCATATTTAATTATAATTGACTTAGATTTTTTTTCAGTCATTGAAGGAATAGGTTCGGATATATCTGAATCAGAACTACTAGATGAAAATGTTATACGACTACGTTTCGATATAGAAGAATTTGAATCTAAATAAAAATTATTTCAAATAAAATAAATATAAAATATAATTTATACATGATTGTTTCATAGATGAAGATTGATTAAATGTTCGTTTATTATTTCGTTGTGTTTCAGATTGTAATGAATATTGATCAATAAGTTGAGTTAATTTTTTTACATACATTTCCCATGGAACACAATCAATTTCAACTTGTTGTTTAAGTTGATTTGTTTGTTTATCATAATCATCTTTTGATAGAGCACCAGTACAAAATAAATTATCAAGTTTATTTTGTTGAGATGTATATGTTGATCTAGTTGTTTTAATAGCTGTTTCAGCAAATTCTAAACCTTCTTTAGCTGATACATATTGTCGATTATTGAAAAGACATGTCTGTTTGACTCTAAAATAAGGCAAAATTAAATGAAACTAAATATAGGAAAGAATACTTACAATTGAGTAACGGTTGATAAACCAACACTGTTCGACATGATGATATTTTCAATCAAATAGGAACAAAAAATTAATCTAAAAATTACTAATTTTCGAGTTTTGATCGAGTTTAAAGTAGACTGATAATTGATTGGTTCATTAATAAATAAATCCGAATGATTGAAAGAGGTCGCAAGTTATCAATAGTACATATCACTCGACATGATATCTAAATAAGAGTAGTTAAGAATAATTTAAGAAATTCTTTTAAATTAATTTTCATATTTCATAATCAGAGAGTTTATATCAATAATACGTAGAGTTCATAGAAATATTAAACTATCTTTTCTTGTTGATCAAATGTCTAAAACAAAATGAAAAATTAATTCATATTCTATTTATTTTACTGTATTCTTTCACACGAAATATAACATAATCATAGAAAGACCATGAAAAGCCTTTATAACAATTATTATCATGAATATACATTGCATCGAAAACTCTACATAGTATCGTATAGCAAAAATTAGATATGGAACCAAGCAACTGTTATTTAATAAATAAAAACAAAACATGATTTCCTTACGAATTCCATCATAGCTCTCCATGTGATCAAAATCTTACAAAAATCAACAATTTTATTGCGATTAACTCATTCAACAAAATGATTTTCTACGGTTTTATTTTACAGAACATTGTGATTTTTTGCATGTGACATTTACAGTGACCGAAACTGGTCATCGTTCTGGGCTGTAGGAATCCGACTGTGTCACACTGGATATGCAACCTCCTTTTAGCTTTGTACTCATAAAAGTATCTTGTGAATGAAGAGAGAGATCATATTGTTCTTCTCCATGTAAGGTTGTCGACATTTCATGATTGGAAAATAGGGAGACGTGCTACAAATGCATGTAAACGGGCACGTCAAATAAAATCTTGTTGTTTTCTCAAGATTTAATTGTAAAGAAATATATCTCGAAATCTTGTCTATCTAATCGTATAAGTAAGTGTATTACAACTCTAAAAGATATTGAAAAACTAATTGTCCAAGAATTAGCCGAACCACTGTAATGTCATCGACTAAATTGAGCTAGTCAATAGACCAATAAAGTAAATTTCCTGAATCTCTTAGCCGAACTCAACACAATTATAAAAATACTTTTGAATTTTCTGGTTTAATTTCTCAGAGACAGAATTATTTTTCTAATGTTATTCAAGTAGCTAGTCTCTTAAGATTAGCAATTCATCTAAATCTAATTTCCAAACTTTCCCCGAATGTTCTTTTATCCGCTCTCTCTAATCTTTATTAGTCTAAATATTCTTGTAATATATAGTGGACTTGCAAAAAAAACCTTGGTTTTTCAGATATTTTTCAAATTTTCCGGCTTTTGGAATAATAGATTTAATCGATTGAAGTCTTATATTCTGAACCAGCGCATTAAATAGCGTCAGATTCAACCATTTCTGAGTGAGAAAATCCGCTACTGAACATGAAAGGAACATACGCGCCTGTCGTGCGAAAAAACACACTGTGATGCAGGCAAAAATTCGACAGAAGATTCGAAAATTGATACAGAAGGTGCCTGTATCCTAGAAGTGATGACAGTGGAAATCATGTCACAACAAAATCGTCTGTTTGGTTTTATTTTATTTCTCGTGATAGAAAGGCAAATGATGTTTCGAAATCGATTATCTCTTCAAAGTTACTGTGAAGCTGTAAAAAGTTGCTTGAAACTTGGCATATTTTGGTGCACGTGATATAAAATCAAATTGATTGATTTTAGTGAAAAAAAAGAGACTGTTGAGTAACTATGTTTTATTTATTTCTATAGACTGTATTATCTAGTTTTTGAAAAAAGTGCATGACAATGAGAAAATTGTTAAACTTCAATTAATTGTTCTATCGAGGACTTGAATTGTTTTGCTAGTAATAAATTTTCACATAAGTATTAACTTTAAAATAAATTAGGCTAACAGTTTTTTGAAAACTTCGTCATCAGCACAAAGATTGCGAAATTCCTTTTGACTAATTTTTCCATCTTTGTTAACATCATATTGTGCAAAGACTAAATCTAAGTGTTTTTTGAATGCTTCAAATTCCTTTTGATCGATTGATTTATTAGCTGCTTTGGATAGACCAAAAATTTTTTCAATTTCAGCTCGTTGAAGAAAACCATCATGATTGAAGTCACATAGAATAAACAGCATTGCAAGCTTTTGCGATGGTGTACCAGGTGTCATTACAACAGCAGTCATCAGAAATTCATTAAAATCAATTTTTCCTAAACAACAATAACCACAACATGATCATCTAAAGAAAAAAATTCGTACAAAAAATTTACCAGAATGATCTCGATCGCAAAAAGCGAAGACTCGCTCGGCTATATCAACACTTTCAGCATGATCGGTTTTAGGTGCTGTTTCATTCCATAGTTTGATGAACTCTTCCTTGTTGAGTTGACCCTTGGGTGCCCTTGAACGAAAGTCTTCTACAAAAGAAAAGTGTAACGAATTGCAGTTTGAATCAAAGTTTTGATATAACAGTTATTGAAATTTCTCTGAGATTAAATTTCATATTTTAAATTTTTCAATGATTTAATAGAGAAGTTCTTTACAAGTTTAATTTTGAACATGAATATTAATTCAGAGAAATTTATGAGTGTGATATCAACTATATTATGAGATACGAACCGAATGTTTCTCGAATCTCTGCTTCGCTGAGATGTGATCTTTTCTTGAGAGCATTCATATATTTTTCATTTAATTCGATTTTGCCTGTTGGGTGAACTGGTTTAGCTGCCATTTCGTCAAATATTGAAAATTGGTAAAACACTTGTTGAATTGATTTTAACGATCTAGAACAACAAGAAAAAAAAACAAATGGACGACATTTGAATCTCTATGAAATGAGATTCTTACTGAAAGGTATACCTCACATTTGACGATTTTTATACTCAAAAATATGTATGCTTTACCTTGATTTTGATGTATACATTTGGTGGAAGCATTCAACCATAAACCTTGAAAAATGCACTCCCATCTGATATACCCTTATAATTACTATAGATGATAATCACTGTACGATCGTCACATAATCATTATGCAGCATCTGTTTTTTTGCTATTGGTCTAAAGTGCCTATTAAAAGTAGCAAGGTATAACGTGATAGTTTTATTTGTGACATTTAATTACCTATCATCAGTTAATGATGAATCTAATTATGTTAATGTGATTTTTTTCGGCTGAAATTTTGAGGAGACACATTTTTTCGCTGTGTATATGTCCTCACTTTTTATTTATTTTTTGATTTTCGATCTAATAACGACCTTCAAGAAAATAATGAGTCTCTATTGGTATATGTTGTATCGAATTTATACTCTCCCTGGACAAAAAATACCTTTTTTTAATTGATTTTTTCATTAGCTAATATGCTGTATCAAAACACAGAATATACTACAAGATGCAGCGTGTAAGCTCTACAGTTCACAAAGGTTAACTTATTTTATCGTTACACAGTTTCCAAAATGAGCACAATTGGGAGTCATTAATTTTTTTTAACTGCGAACAAAAAATAATTTTTTGATACAAGACGAACTCGTTATTTTTTTCTTATTTCATCTTTTTATCACTTGATATGCTCTATGAAAAAGAAAACAAAAATATACCACAAGATGCAGCGTGAAAAGGTCAACACTTTTGTAAAGCAAAGCTTATTTTATAGTTACATGTTTTGTTTTCAAAATATGCAAGGTTCTGTACGGTTAATTTTCGATGCTGCCAATAAGATCATTTTTTGATTTCACGATGAATTTTTTTTCGTTAATGTTTTAGTTAATGAGTTGTATCGGAGGTCATAATCAATGGCAATTATGTAGATTGATCGACATGTGTTCGAATTACAATAATATGCAATGGGATAAAGTGAAAAATAATGATTCATTAATTGATAATATAAGAAATTGAATTAATCATGTACCAAATTATGATCGTTTCTGTAGAGTCGGAAATTAGTGACTAGAAGTTTTGTTCATTTTAAAAACAAATTCTACGATATTGATTTACTTTGAGATAAAGCAAAATGTTGAGAAAAAAAAAATTCCAAGAGAAAATATAAATAAAAGATAGTTAAAACTAACGTCGAAAATCTTCAATTTATTATCATTATAGATTATAAAAGAAGAGAAACTCACATGTAAACAAAACTATTAAAAAAAATGAGTTATATAATTAATCTTTTTATTTATTTCTTTTTAATAATTTCTATTGGAGAAATAAATTATTAGAGGAAACTGAAAACTTGTTATATTAATTCTTGCAGTGTAATACCTAAAAAGAAATCTTATGATATGTCAACAAATAACAAATGATCATTTTTACTTTAAGTATTGTTCGTTTCATTAAGTAATCGTTGAGTCCATGACCATTTTTGAGCTGCATTACTAAGATCGCATACTTGCATTTGAATATGTTCGCTATCATTAGATAATGTCATACATGAATTCGATGCTGGATGGTATATTTGATTGTTCTACATAACAACAAATAGTTTGCTAGTATAAAAATTTGTTTCATCTTGGCTTAATACTATAATCTATCAAGTGTGCAAACTTCAACTCTTTCAAAGAAGAAGTTACAAGATTGTAAATTTGCCTATAGGACTTTTTTTACCGAATACTTTACTGTTCCATGTTAAACGAAAGGTCTCTTTGAGCTTTAAATGTTTCATGATAGAACTTGTTATTTTTCAAAAGATAAATAAAAGGTTTGAAACAAGATCAAGAGAGGATGATATTTGTGCTTAAATTACTTTCCTTAATCAATCTGATATATTGTTCTGCCACCAAATCGAGTACTCAGTATCCAATTCGATAGTAGATATGACATTTTGATGTGTCAAAATATTTTTACTTTTCCAAATGATTATAAATATAAAAGCATAGAAATGAAAATTGGTTTGATCATGATTGAGCAACTTTCAATACTTGAGAAGAGATCGCAGAAATAGAAAGCAATATCAGTTTACAAAAAGAATTCATTTTTAATGAAAATTTATCTACAGATGTTTAAAGCCTATATAACATAGTGACTGAATATACGAAGAGAAAAATAAACTATCAAAAACATGAACATGTATTATCTTGATGGAAAAAGTATTCGTATATGTAGCCACAAATATGATGCTTAGTACTACTCTGCGTTCCATTCTAGCTTCGTCAGCAACGAGCAAATATTTACTTGCCAAAGTGATTGAGTCTTTGAAGCAGAAAGACACTAAGTGAATTCCAAAACACTTTATTGACCTAGTTTTTTTTTATGGAATTTGAGATGATTTCTTCGTTTTGTTACTATTTATGGAAGAAAGTAAATAGTATACTTTTTCACATAAAGTGAAAGCTTAAAAACTGTACTATGACTGTGAAAGGATTCATCGAATATCGATTAGCTTTGATCACGGTCCAGTTAGGTACAGGATACAGGTATTCAGGATCAGGCAGAGCCCACGTTTAAAAAAAATACCGATTGGGATCGAAGTGCGACAAAATAGTACTCGTAGAGAACACTAATTTGATGTGGTACTCCTTATCTATATGAAGAGATTGAGAGAAAAAGGTTATTCTATTGCAACTACTAGGTCATATGGTTCTCTAACACTGCTATAAATATCAAGGTTTTTCGATTTAGTTCTTTTATCTTAATAGCCGAAATATGACCTTCAAAAATCCTACCTTTAAACTAACAAAAACCTTTAGTGTAGTTCTTCGACCTTTTCAACAGTAAGAACAAATATTACCATTCTTGCACTATAAAGAGTTTTTCGATTAACTAAGAGCCAATAAGTGAAACTCGGAATATCGATTAGGAAAGACATCTGAACGAGATTTTGAATGAACTTCTTTTTTGATCTATCTCTGAAGAAAGCACGAGGCGAATTTCTCTACGAAAATAAAAGTTGCCGTACGAATTTTAAACATCCGTAGATCGACTCAGTTTTTTATGCTGAACATGATGGGTGTGGGTTTCAAGACTTTTCAACAATCGTATTTCGACTCTAACGTCCGAAGAACTAAAGCAAAAAGACTTGATATTTATAGCAGTGTTACAGGACCATATCACCTGGTAGTTGCAGTAAAAAGTTCTTTTTTTCCCCATGCTCTTCATATAAATAGGAATATCATGTCAGATTAGAGAGGGAAGTAATTTAGGTTCACAAACACCAGTTATTGACTTCTTCAAACTTTTTATTTGTCCGTTGAAAAATAATTAGTTCTATTACAAAACAAATTGCTTATCTCAACGTGACCTTTCACTTAATATAAGACAGTAGGGCTTCCAGTCGATTTATGACCTTATAACCTGCCCTCACTCCGCTGAAAAACCTAGTGTTTTAAGTTTACATCTTCGAGAGAGAGAGAGAGAGACGAACAATAAGTTTGAGCATAAACAAACCTCATTATAAATCCAATATTGATTTCCTTTTTCGCCATGACATGATAAAACAAGAACTTTATCATCTTTATTAATATCTGCTATTCCACCACTATATTCTAAACATCCATGATCTCGACGAATTTCACCTATTTTGGTTAACATAAAAAACTACATCAAACAAAACAAATATACTATTTGATATAAACAAAGAATATTGATATATACCTGATTACCACCTTCATTATGACATGGATAACTAATTACAGATTTATTGAAACTATTGGGATGAGTATTTGCATCAACACAGAAATCTGCATAAAAATTTCGAATCTAAATAACTGTAACTTTTTCAACAATTTCTCATCGGAGAAAAAAACTTCTCCTATATGTTTTGATATTTACATACCTCACCAAGAGTTTTTGTATCTTCTGGAAGAGATAACTCTGGATAGATCTCAGTTACATACCATTTAAATGATTTACATTGTAGTTTTTCTCGAAGTAATTTACGTGATGTAATATCACCGTAATTACCCTAAACAAATAATAAATTATTAGCACTTCATATATACATATATATCGAATAAATTTAAAAACCATACCAAATTATTATTTATTCTTTGATAATAATATTTCTAAATGGAAATAAAATAATAGTATCCTTCTAAAAATTAACTTATGTTGTTTTAGTTTATTCAATACTTTGTATTCATCAAGCCAAACTTCAGCAAGTCGAACAGAATTTTTGCGAACAACATTTACCTCATCTGACCATTTATATGGAGATCGTTTTCGAAATATATGACCAACATGAGAACAAGGAGAAATCACCAGAGTGCCTACATATAACAATTAATTAAAATAAATAAGTATAGTTATACTTACCACCACACATCCATATGCGAAAAGATAGTTCTAAATTTTCACCACCCCAAATATCCATTCCAGCATCATCTGTAATTAAAATAGCTCACAGTTAGTTTTTTTTTTGTATTGAAGAATACAGAAATAGATTTCTGGTTCTCGATGGGATCATTTTTTGGACTAAAAAAACTTAACCATAATAAATAATCAAACTCGAAAACTAAAAGACAAGAATTGATTTAGCTGATAGTGATGATTTGATCACGCTCACGATAATAAGGAGATGTCATTTTGACTGAAAACTAACATTTTTTAAAAGTTTAGATATATTCATGTGCTCAGTTGCAAAAAAAAATGAAACAGAAGAATCGCGTTCAGCGACCAATTTTCGAACAGTTCGATTGACATGTATTAGAATGTGCCCTCGTAAGAGTGGCTAGATAAATATAGTTTTGTTTCAGTATGAAAAGAAATTTGCTACGAAAAATCCATTAACAAGTGATGACAACAAATGGGCTATGTACATATAATACAACGGTAACCATAGGTTTTGTATAAACTTTTGATTTCATAACGAGATACGTATAGATTTGTATAGAAACTCTTCTTGTACAATCATAGACATATTTCGTCATCAAGTCAAAAACTTATAGCTGCCTTTAGTGGTTTAAATTTTTCATACAGTTTGTTAAAAGTATCTTCTATCTAATGTAGTTATTTCGATGCTTAAACGCATAGTGTTCTCATTGAAACGCCAAAGATTAAAAAATCCGTTTATTTACAAGAAATTTTCAGAAACTCTCATTTACTTACAAAATATTTTTCAATTCATGATATTTCATGCATGAATATGTCAACTATTTGAAATATCTATAATTTTTGAACATAATTATAAGACAATAACATATGCAGGAACATACAATCTTCTAACTATTTGAGGGAAGAAGATGTGAGACCCTACATGACTCTTATCCTTGTCAATAGTTGCATGCAAAATTCTCACATTTTTATGCAAGATACATCATTCACATGTAAATATCGAAGTGTGATTGACATGTACCTACAAGACGGCTAGAGTTTCATTTAATTCTGCATGTCAATGTAAAAGATTTGTATTTACGAAAACTATTAACAAACTCATTCTGTACTGGCATGATTAGTATTGATGTTGATAGATGTCTAACAATTATTAAATGATCAATATATCTTTCAGTTATGATTGCACTTCTACTGCAAACACATGGTCAAATCGTGAAAAAGTTCGTCTTATTGAGTAAAGTATATGTATTTGAATTTTGTCCCTGAAAAAAACTTCCTGAGTACTCATATATCTTTACTACATGCGGTTCATTTTTAACTATTCAAAAAATTGTCTTCCACGTATTGTATACAGTCAGAAAATTAAGCATGCACATATGTAAAATTGCATGCATGTAAAAAGGAATATAGTTGTATTATGCAACGGTTTGTCATACACGCCATACTAACTAGGATACCTTTATGTACATGTATTTCATAAGCTTTTGCGTTTGACTATGTTATGCGTTAGAGCTTATATATATCTAACAGTTAGATTATTACATAAAAATGAACATATCCAAGTCACACCCTTTTGAAAGCTGTAAACCCATTGGTTTTAATGATCTCAATATTTTTTAGAAATCGGAACCGCTAACAATCACGTAGATAATTTCTAGCCTTAACAGATCCTAAGTAATGGCTGAGATCTGATCTCAAATGCAAGACATCAATTCCGGTGGTTCCATTATTATTTCTATAATCAAAACTATTATTTTGTTTCAGTTAACTTACAAGATCCCAATTCATAAAAATAACTTTTACTAATAGCAAAAAGTCCTCCAGCCATAGTTGGTGTTCGTATTGGTTCTAAATGATGTTTTCTTCTTTCTCGTTCTCGGTCGGATATAGAGTACCAATTAAATTCTAAGTTCCAATCAAAACCACCAGTGCTTATTGCATCAAGGACAACAAAATTATATTGCAATGTATCTTCATCAATAGTGTCAATAACAGGTGTTACAACAAATGTACGATTTTGTAATATTGGACCAAGTAAAGGCTCAAGCCAACCTTCTGTAGCTTCAATATGTGAATCAAGAAAAATAATAACATCCCCTTTTGCAATAGCAGCACCTGCTAAACGTGAACGTATCAAACCTTCTCGTTGTTTTTGTCGAACTATTGAAACTATTTTAAGATGCTTTATATACTCATCCAATGGTTTCTTTAGATGTTCTATTTAAAAAAAAAAAGAACAGAGTCTTGATTTCAAACACAGAAAAACAAAATCTTTCTTACCCATATCAGAAAAGTCATCAACAAGAATAATTTCTTTTAGTAAATGTGAAGGACTACGATTAATAATTGAATGTATTGATCTTAATAATACTGACCATGCTTCATTATGAAAACACATAATAATACTTGCTGTTAATGATATAGGTTCATGTTGAAGTTTTTGACAATCTGGATCACGTACATCAGGTAAACTACGATGATATGATATTAAATCACTAGCATATACATTAAATGCATGTTTTTCAAAGCCATTTTCATATTTTATAAGTTCATATGGTGATAATTTAGTTTTATCAATTTCAACTGGTTTACCCATTTCACCTGGTCCATTTAGATCAACTTTTTTATCATCAATATTTGATGCCATTAGTTGTTCTTGTTTATTATTTGATTTTTTAATTGATCCTTTTATAAAATTAATCGAATCATGTGGATTAATGTTAAGTTCTGCAAGTTCGTCGGTATTTTCATCTTCACTAAATGTTTGTTTATCGCTAGAATTTGTGGTTGAATCATGTAATTGAAATAAGATAAAAATGATTAAAAACCAAACGAGAATTATATA